ATTTTATTTTTTTGTTGTTGAGATAATGAGATATCAGGAGACGATTTTGACTGAACCTTGCAAGTAACACAGTCCAGATAATCTGCACCGCTCATGCATCATACGGTAACCATGACCACGATGTGATTTCTGCCCTTGATTGAAATATTCTCTGATGTGTTGATCAATGCATCGTCCTGACATTTTCAGTTTACAGCACCAGAAGTTTCCATCTGCATCTGGTCTCTGATTTACAAAGTAATTGTAATGAGAAAACAAACCTTGTTATCTCGGGAAAACGAGATAATTATCCCGTTATCTCAGGATAACAAAAAATCGCCTTCTCCTGATAATATCTCGTTATCTCGGGATAACGAGCTTTGTTATCTTAAGCTAACGGGATAAAAAGATATTTGCAATTATCACCTTTCTCTGCCTCCATGCAAAAAAAAGATAACATGAGATGAGATAACATGAGATAAGATGAGATGAGAGAAGATTTTCATTTCTCATCTTACCACAACAGCATTGGTCACTGAGTGCAGGCCAACAGCCAAACGGCTCGAGCCAGACAGGCTAATAACCGCTGCAGCTGATCAGGATGATGCTGTCAGCGGTGGGAGAGAGGGACTTTATCATTGACCTCAGTGTAATTGAGTTTAACATGATTGTTTTTCTTTTTGTTTTTTTTTGTGATTACTCAGACAGAAAACTGTTTCTACTCCAGTGATAATCCTTCAGTCCAGTTATCCCATCTGCTGGAATGAAGCAGGCGAGCTCAGATTAACCTTGATTGATTAAAAAGATAAAAAGTCGCTTTTTAATTCAGACAATAGTGGATGGAGAGGTGATAAAATATTATTGCATGTTTACATAAAACTGATGAGGTGAAGTTGTTACTCACAGTGAACCAATTCATCTCTTTCTAACACCAGGATGCTGATGAGGTCACCACACTGTCGATGAAAGGTGTCATCATGCAGGTGCATGGCAGTAGTTTTATCTCTTTTCCTGTTACTTCAGACACACATTAACCAGTATGTGGCAGTTTTCCGTGTAATGAGGATGAACTGAATGAACGTGTCAGTATATTTTTAATTTAATGTCATATATTCGTATTATTGTATCTTTCTTTTTTTTGTCTTTTGACTTATGTTCTCCCAATCCGAATTCATTCCTTGTTGATTGTAAGGTTAAGATGTTAATTCATGTTCATCAAAAATATATTTACAGTGTTTATACAGTCAATTATTTACATATCTATGTTTATGCAATTATTATTTATATTTCCAGTCTTTGAAAACAGTTACTGTAACCTCCAGATTCAATCTCTCTAGCTTTCCTCTGATTTACCTCAGTCTAAGTCCTCATCTCTGATTGGTTAGTTTAGTGGCATGTGACCTTTAGAAACAGGAAGTGTTGTTGTTGTGAAGCAGACGAAGTGTTAGAGTAAAGTTAGTCCGTCTCCATCCAGCTGTTTCTTTTATCGAAAGTGATCCTTACCACCACGTATAGAACTGTCACGTTACATCGAATGTGTTGGTCTATAGTGAGTGGAGACATGATCCCTCACTGGCTTCCCACCCACCAACTGGTGCTGGCCCAAAATGAACAAACTCATCTCTTCAACTCGTATTTTTTCCTGATTCCTGCTGCCTGTGGACTTTGGAGAGACTCACTGCTGCAGTTACACAACTTTTAGCGCCTTTTACGGTTAATGATTGTTTTGTCTCGTCTCCAGAGTATTCATTTTTATTACTACTGATATGAGTTGGTAGATTTTAGAGTGTCTTGCACTCTTGTGGCCGGAGAGAAAAAACAAAATCTAGTTTTAAAAGCTCTCAATATCATATAAAAATCAAAACTATCAAAATGACTTATAATGAACTTTTATGCTTATGCATCTCTGTCTTTAACCTGTGTGGGTGTTAGTGTGTCTGTAGTGAAGAGGATTCAGCTGTGAGAGTTCGGTGGCTTCTTTAAATCCCTGGATGAAGGCGTGTTGAGGATTTAGACCAGAGTGAGTGAAGATTCTGCTGATTTGGGTCTGATCTGGGTGGAAAATCAAGCTTTAGCTTCTGCGGCTTTGTTTGGAGACAGTGACAGACTTCATCAGGCTCCGTAAGCTTCTGTGTGAATCTGATGAAAGCTCTGTTCATCTGATGCTGGTCAGTGACAAAATACAGTTCATTGACCCCTGAGGGAATTAGGTCATTAAACAGTCATTGGTGAACGACAAGATATTCTCTTTTGTTATGATTCCAACATTTTTATTACATACACATGTAACAAATCCAGTCTTCATCCCTTAAGGAAGAAGGAGAAAACAACTGGACAGTTTGACTGGTCTTATAAAACTTTCTGTTTGAGACAGGTAGTAAACTTCAGCAGTTTGAGTTTGGCGTCCAATTACGTCCTGCACTTGAGGAAAATCAGTTGTCGAAGAACTGATTTTCACTTAAGAAATATTTTGATTTCATTTGATTGTGAGGACTAATGATTATCAAGGAAAATTTGAGTGGGTTGTGGTATCAAATTTTCATAAACAACTGATGTAAAAGATGGAAATAATATGAAAGGAATATCTCTAATATAGGGATTTTTCAAAATTTGTATTTGTTTTCTGATCATTTATGTTGTGTAACGTGTTGACCAGTACTTATAAATGTCGTTAAACTACAAAAAAATCTTTGTTTTGTTAAGTTTATTTTGAAATTCTTTTATTTCTTACATAGTCCATCTGCAAACGAAGACCATGAGATGCATCTGAAAGCTGGAGAAAAGGCTAATAAAGTAAGTGGGTGTCTGTTTTTTAAGTATAGAAACAATGGTGTGTTGTGCTTTAATGTCTTTATTACTTGTAAAAGTTAATTTAAAAAAATGAACCATAAAGAATGAATGTAATATTATAACATACAGAAATATTTTAAAATAATGTTACAGGACACAAGGTCATACTACGTCCTCTGAGCAGCGCCACTTCTTCAGGGCAGACTGGACGCTACAGTGACTCGGTATCGGAAATTGACGAGACGGCCCCACCGGGCTGGGGCTAGCGGGTTAGCATGCTAACTTCCACAGTGGAGACAACTGTTGGTAAGTAAAGGAATCAAATCTGTTGCTGAACTCAACGTTTCTTTTAGACTGGTGAGTAAACAGCTGTTAATGCTAACGCTGGCTATTTAGCATTAGCAAAAACTTATATACAGCTCCTTCAACAATCTCAGTGTCTGCTGCTCCACCTGACCTAACAGTGATGGCCTGACCTTCCCTACAGTAAAACGTGCAGATAAATCTCGTGTTTAATCCGTCCTATAGATATTTAATCAAAAAACGTTATCAGGTATTTTCTCTCTCGTGCAATATTTCAATGAGGATTAATGTAAGGCGGCTGCACGCCAGCGGCTGATAACAGCAGCCGCCTCAGATAATCACAACTCATGTGGTTGTCCATCTGTTTGACAGAGCTGCTGCTGCACACATATACAAACAGTGCAGATGTTTGACACCATCAGGTTCTTGTCATGCAGCTGTGCAGACCTCACAGGTTCATATTTAAAATACAAACTGTAAACCTCTCAGGCAACATGACGGATGACTGTCATGCTAATGTGGGTTTGGTTATTTCGTCATTAGCTGGTTCACCTGTAGAGTCTAAATCATATTGAACCAAGGGTTTTTTGTAGTTTATCATTACATAGGTAAGACATACACAAAGACAAATGATTAATTCAGTGACAAGGTTTAAAACAAAATGCAATATAAAACATTACAATAAAACGAAAAGAAATATTTTTAATATAAATTAAAAAGATAAGAATATACATGAACACAATATAAGTAAAGATATTAGTACAATGTGGAATGAAAGAGTTTTTAACTGCTGCTAATAAACAAAAAATATTATATGTAATATTTATAAGTAAGAATATCAAACCTTTTCTTTTCTTTTCTCAGCTGCATATCATCATGTCATCATCATAAATACAAGTTATTGATTGGCAGTTTTTGGCCTCATATTAACAGTTGATCGCAGAAGAAAATAATGATAGTTACAGATTTGTGTAGTAAACTGTCGGGGTCTCCTGCAGCACGGCCAGATGAACCCACAACTCGGCCGCAAAGGGTCAAAATTCATATTTCCCCCAAATTAAAGTTAATTTTGTTTCCATTTGATTAAATGCAAATATATTTAAGAAGATGTGCTGTGTGAGCATGACGTCATCTGAAATATTTAAGTGGATATAATCTATATTTTTATAATAACAAAGTCACGCTGTAAAAAGCTGCTGCACATTAGGAAGAACTTCTTAGTTGTTGACTTGTGTCATGTTGCTTAGAAAATGCAACACGTGTGTGCTCAGTAATATAGAGCAGCAAAATACGTATTCTTGTGAATTGTAGTCACAACACACAAACACACACAGACACTCACACACTCACACACACACTGATGTAACAGATGTGTAATTTTACTATCAGTGTGTTTTTTCCTCAAGTGTGCTCCACGTGCCTGAGGTTTGATCTGAAGAGGAGCCCCGCCTTTTTCTGTCACCAAGCCTTACTGACACACACACACACACACACACACACACACACACACACACACACACACACACACACACACACACACACACACATGCACACACACAGACACACACCTACCTCACTCTCTCTATGTTACAGGGCAGCTGCACAGCTCTATATCCTGAATCCTGTTGCTCTGCTGCATGTGTGAGCATGTGAGCAGCTGCTTAACTCGTGGCCCCTCCCATCAACAAACCCCACACCCCCCTCTCCTGCCCATTGCTGGACGCCAACCCACCCATCTCACCATCTCACCCGCGACTCCCAACACCCTCCTCCCCCCTCCCTGCTCTCTGTTCTGTTTACTCCTGAAACCACTGGAGCAACAGCTGGATGCTTCAGTTGATCACCATCCATTTACTCCACAAACACACATTTCTTCCTCAGAGCATCCACCCCGCCGCCGTCACCGCCATCACCCTCACCTGGGCATCATGCGGGAGCTACTGGAGAGCAGCTGGATGAGGTTTGGACCAGCAGGCAGGGGGTCGTACGACTGGGTGACAGGATCACCTTCAACACCGGAGAAGCAGGTGTGTGGAGTTCAACCTGAGAACCAGCTCTCAGCCTTAAACTTAACTTTATATTTCCCTGTATGTGGAGTAAAGTTGGAGAAAGAAAAGCTCCTTCGATATCACATTTTGTTTCTGCTGGTTTCAGTGATTATCTGATACATTTTGAGCGTAAGATTGAAATCTAGACACGAGGATTTAGCTGTTTTATTCCATCAAATAAAACTCGTCTAATATCATTTCTTAATATAAATATTTAATAATATAAATAATAACACCTGAAGCTGTAATGATGAATCCACTGGTGCTGCAGGGCTGAAGAGGCACAGAGTGTTGTGTTATGTCACTGGGTAGCGAGTAGGGAGCAGTGAATGAGTAATTGATTTTGGATTCTTTTCATATTTGGGACATAATTTTGTTCATGTACCAAATGGTGAAGTGGAATAGATGGCAGCCATCTTGCTGTTTACAAAACAGCACTTTCTGTCTGTCTGTCTTTCTTTCCCTTGAGAGTCTTTTAAGCCTTGCATTAAGTCTCAGATTTTTGGGACAGCGACACTTTGTACCGAGAGCCGTCGGGTGACACTCAGACGGATTGAGTATTAAAACTGTCCAGTCCTGCAGAGGAGCAGAGTCTGCAGGGTGCTGGGTCAACCAGGCAGCATTAACTAATTGCTAGAAAAACTGAGGCAGGGGGGAATTTGGGACACTCTGAGCGGATGTAAGCAGCACCGCCACATGTTGTCCTCTCACAGCTGGAGGGGTGCGGGCTCACCCTTCTTGTCAGGATCAAACACAGACTCAGGGTGTGTAATGCACTGCAGATTTGCAGCTGCCGCGGCTCATTCTCAGACAAGGTCACACTCAATCTGTAACACATTCATCTGACTGGAATCCAAAGAGCTACGGACTTTATTTTATGATGAATTGCAGGGAAGCTGTTACAGATCATTGTCAGGTGGTAAAATGTTTGTATATTGATGATTTAGTTTAATTACAAGGCCAAAGTTAGAAACTAGCTAACATTTGTTAGTTAAACTGTAACTTAAGGCTAAAGTTAGAAACAAGCTAACATTAGTTAGCTAAATATAACTTAAGGCTAAAGTTAGAAACAAGCTAACATTAGTTAGCTAAACTGTAACTTAAGGCTAAAGTTAGAAACAAGCTAACATTAGTTAGCTAAACTGTAACTTAAGGCTAAAGTTAGAAACTAGCAAACATTAGTTAGCTACACTGTAACTTAAGGCTAAAGTTAGAAACAAGCTAACATTAGTTAGCTACACTGTAACTTAAGGCTAAAGTTAGAAACAAGCTAGCATTAGTTAGCTAAACTGGCTCAGCTTGTGGCATGGCTGAGAGGGGTGACTGCTTTGTTGTGACATCACAAAGTTCCAGAAGTCCTGACGGCTGGTTTTAAGGCTCAGTTTCTGAATACAGGCTGTGTGCATTTCTCTGTGGACTGAGGCTTTGATACTTTCACAGTATTAATATAGAAGCTAGAGCTGATCTATAATCACACTACACATGGACAGAGACATTTACACTATATGGGACCTTTAAATAATCCCCTTATTGTTGATCAACAGGGTCACAACTGGAATGAGCTGGACCTGGGAGAGGACAGAAAGTCAGAGCTGGTGGTTTACGTGGTCCTCCCGGTCGTCTCCGTCCTCCTGCTGGCTCTCCTGGTCGGTCTGGTCTACCGCCAGTGGTCCCGCAGCAAGCTGAGCCTGGCCAACATCATCGCCTTGGACCTCGACGACACTGAGAGCAGCGCCGAGTTCCTCTCCTCCCTCACCAGGAACGCAGAGCGCCACACCAGCACCAGCTCCGATGGATCGGACGGAGTCTTTGTCATGGTCTACCTGCCTCCACCGTACGAAGAAACCCTCACCAAGATCACGCGGGCCGCCAGCCTCTCCAGCTCCAAGGACGTGGAGTCGATGAAGATAGAGGACCTGGAGGCCAAGCTGTGTCCAGAGCTCAAGTCCAGCGGCCAGTATGTGTGATAAGGGGCTAATGCTGCAGCGTGAAAAGACATTATAACTCCAATATTTGGTGTTTTTAAATAACTTTGTTGTCTGTAAATTATAATTATTTAATTATCACTCAACTCGACAGCTCTGTAGAGCCTCTGTTAGCACATAGCTTCAGTTTTACGGTACATTAACTCTATGGTTCAGCACCAAACAGCCGACAGACGCAGTCAGGGATATCAGCTGGCGAACATAGTGGAGCATCCAGCAGCTAAAAGAGAGTGAATGTTGGACTTACACTCAGCCGGTGGACACAAACCTGACTCACAGTGGGATGATAATGTTGATGTGCATCCGTTGAATGTGTAAACAGGCTTCTGTCTGTTTGGTGTCAGCGTATTTCGGAGTTATTCTGCCCTCTAGTGTCCAAAAATCAATAAAAGCAGTTTTAAAGGAGTCACATGAATCATTTCACTAGCGCTTAAATCCATAACAAATTAATTTTGAGTTACTAGAAACAGTATATATAAAAGGTAGTTTACCTCTTATCAGCCTTGTTTGGTTTGATGGTGAAGGTTGATGGGAAAGTCGTAGATAAACTGGATCCTGTTGATTTTGTGCTTTCAGACCCCTCTATAAGTTGAGTTCACTTAAAGCTCCTGCAGTGTAAAGGTCTGTGTCCATGTGTAGTGTGATTATAGATCAGCTCTAGCTTCTATATTAATACTGTGAAAGTATCAAAGCCTCAGTCCACAGAGAAATGCACACAGCCTGTATTCAGAAACTGAGCCTTAAAACCAGCCGTCAGGACTTCTGGAACTTTGTGATGTCACAACAAAGCAGTCACCAAGCCCCGCCCACCTGGACCCACCATCCAAACCTTGCAGGATTTGGTTTCTCTGAGTGTTTTTACCTGAAATCTGCTTTATTTTTATTGGATCACTCAGAAAACAGTCAGCCAATCAGAAGAGAGGCTCAGAGCCTCCTCTCTTCTGATTGGCTCACAGACCTGTTGTTACTAGAGCTGCAGAGAGAAGCCTGAGAGAGGAGATGTAAAACTACACTGAGATGAACCACAAATATATCTTCTTATGGATCTTAAACTTACATTAAAACACCAGAAAAGTGTAAAATTTTGACCTTTAATAAAATGCGTTTTAGTGATAATACATCATGGAGGAAGTTCCTTCATCACACTGTGAAACTTTGTGAAATGAGACACAAAAACAGAACGAGTGCAACATGCTTTCCTTTATTACGTCTATAAATCAATGTCAGCTCATTTGAGAGAAGATGAATCGCTCTGATACTTATAGTGATAGTTGCTAAATATTTTGAGTTTAAGAGCATTCAGCGAAGTATTCAGAGGCTTGTGTGTCTCTGCACTCCTCCCGGAAGATCAACCTGATCCTGCAAATAAACGGAGGAGGGATTCAGATGTTGTAATTTGTCACGTAAACGGACTGTATTGATTTTATAATTAAACTTTATCGCATTTAAAAGGCTGATTAGCAAAAGCAGCACATGCAGCTTAGAGACCGGACTGTCAAATATGACTTACGTTCTTCTTAACTGCTCCCAGTGAGGCGCCCCGAAGCCATTTTCACTGTGGAAACATTCAGGATGTGAATTAGAAGAGATTTGATTCGCTGCATTTTAATTTGAGTTCAGCTCCTCAGCGAATCACAGGGGCCAAACAAACCCTCCGCAACACAAACACTGATGTGGCAGATGCTGTTTAATAAGTACACATAAAACACCCCGTATGACATCACTGATTTGGGGCGTGACCTCGGCCTTTTATTTGCATTTCTACGTATGATCAAAGTCTAAATGTATAAATGGCAGCAAGGGAGTTTCCAAAAGTGCATGCCTGCTTCAAAGCAGAGATACAAAGCAGATTTTAAAGGTCCAACATTAAGGTCCCAGATTATGAGACAATGGGCCCCAGGGCAACGGGCCCCTCCCTCAATAGAGCAAGACCCACAGAGACGCAAGTCATACAAGTCCCATTATGGTCGTTTTTCATCTCTTTGTGGTCATTTTTTTTCCCAGCCATACTTGTTTTGTCTCTTTGTAGTTACTTTGGATCTATTTTTACTCATTTTGTATTTCTTCGTAGTTGTTTGACTTCCTGACAACCTTGAATCCTCAACAGGATTTTGTGACCTCACAACTCTACTCAACTAGAAATATGCAACAAGCACAAGTGCGATGCAGAAACCCGAAGCCTCCGCAGAACGTGAGAACAGACTTTTCTATGAAATTAGGATTTGTGTTGGGTAGTTAAACTTTCTAAAATGAACAATATTTGCATTTTCATAAATATTCCTGGAATTTTTTCAGTGTCTTATCAGAATGAAATTTATTATCCACAACAGAGTGTTTAGAGTGTAATCTTTATTATGTCAGTTAACAACGAAAGGACTGAATGCATCCAGGTTTAAATAAAGCGGTTTAAAAATCTGTGAATAAACCGTCACATTTAACATCAGTGTGATGGAAAATGTAATAAATTGAGGAAAAAAATCATAAATCAAGTGCAATTATCCTTGAGGTCATTGTACAGTAAAGTCAAGAGAATTCAATATACAATGAATTTAAAAATGCAAAAGTAAAAGTAAGGTTGTTTGATATTTAATGCACCTTGTGATTCCACTGTGAAGAAATATTTAAAAACTGAACTTACAGGAGATAGGCCAAGATCTTCAACACACAGTTGATGTCATCACGTATGTCGTCATCAACCAAGTCTGGAGAGAAAACGAAACTGGTTTAAGGCAAAGATGCAAGTTGAAAACGACAGCGGCTACAGAACAAACACAAGCTGAAACTCACTGCTGCAGCTCAGTCCACAGATGTTGGGTGACGGAGTTGTGCCGTCGTTGCAGACCAGGTAATTGCTGAGCTGGAAAATGCCGTACAACGTCCAGACTTCCTCAGCGCCGCGTCGCTCCCGAGTGTGGGGAGGGTCCGTGCTCGGGAGCTCCAGCTCCAGCTCAGCCAGGCTGAACAAGCCCCCGAAGGAAGCGTTCCTCCTCCCCCTGCGGGGATAGTCCTCCTTCCCCGGGATCAGCTGGGTCACTGCACTGGTGTTAAAACCCGATGCCAGCTCCACGTTACAGACAACTGAAGGCAGGGGGACAGAAGAGAAAAACAAATGTCACACTTCCACAAACCTCGGGGATATTCCTGGTCCCCAGAAGATTACTCCTGACGATTCTATGACCTTCAATCTTTCCTCTAGGAACAACATCTTTTTTTTATTTGGGGGTGTGTTATCTACTAACACACAGCCACACAGTACATCTGATAAAATGGTTTTTAAAGAAATAAGACCGGGAGAGAAAGTAGTGGGGGAGGGTCAAGGACAATATTTCAATACTAGAAATTCATGAGAGACTATTGGTCTACATCACAACAGATCTACTGTATATGGTGATTCATATTCAGTCCAGGATTTACAGCAGCTTTCAAACTCTCAAACCAACATATATTCATTTTCAAAACCATCAACAGAAGCCTGTAGTGTTTCTAATGTGAGACCAGTACTTACGTTTGGCCACTAAGTTCTCTTCAGCCGCTCCTTTCTGCTTTGCCTTCCCTGTCCGCTCATCAGTCGCCCTCAGCATCTGATCCTTCAGGTCGCACTTCGACACGAGCCAGGCCTCGGTCAGACTGCAGCCCAGCGCCGCCAGCAGAAACACCTCGAGTACCTTCATCTTGGCTCTGACTCTGAACACACCTGACACGACATATATACTGTCTGCAGAGTAACAAATCAGAGAGAGAGAGCCCACATCCTTTGTTCAGCCACACATAAAGGCCGCTCCCACGACGCCTAGAAACGGGGATCTGGGAGTGCGCAGTGTTGTGCCACATCTCACACCCGGCTTTGGATTTCTGAGCTCTAAAGAGGTCGGAGGAGGAAAAACGATCCGTCCACCTGACCACGTCTTTTCTCATGTGGATTCTACGCCTTTGTGCTGTTTAAAAGGCCATGAGACTAAAAACCAGATGAGGGCGAAACAGTTTTATCTCCCACGTCACCATAAGACATTTATCATTCCAGAGGATCAGGTGGCCATCGGTTCACTGAGCACGGCTATCATGTTAAACACAACAAAAGAAAGAACAATGCAAAAAAAAAAAAAAAGAACAGCAAGATGAAAACGGAGCAGAAGAACATCACTTCAGTTTGAGTGGAAAAGTTCTCCATGAAGAGTTTAATATCAAAACTGAAATGTTTTTGGCATCCACATCCATCTGCTGCTGCTGATGGAACAAAAGTTAACAATGTGATGCTAATCAATTTGTATAATTCTCTTTGACGTCTTCAAATCTGCCCAAACTCTAACTGGCTTTAAAAAGAAGCTAAAAACTGCTCTATTTTCCTCTGTTTTCATCTCAATTTTAATCTTGCACTCTGATGAGGTATTATCTATTTTATAATCCGTGTTTTTATATTGTTTTTATCCTGTTTTCTTATTGTGCTTTTAATTCTATTTTTATGCTTCTTTTGTTTCTGTTAAGCAACAAATATTGTAGAACTTAGATGGTTATTCACAATTTTATTTCATCCTGTGTTCACTTCTGTTTTAGCGTGACATCCCTGGATCGTTTACCGGCTCTTCACAGAACTCTGACCATCATTCCTTCACACCGGCTTCCCGCCAAATCCAGAATCCAGTATAGTGATCCCTTTTGGAGCTCTGCGGGGTCAGACACCTGATTATCTACTGATGTACTACACTTAAAAAGAGTAAGTTAACTTTAGTTGTCATTTCTCAGGTGGAACAACTTCATAAAATGAAGTAACCACAACACAATTTTAACAAACTAATAGTTATAGTTACTTTTTCCAAGGCAATCAGTTTCCTGGATTTTAGTAAGTAAGATCAAATGGAACAGACCGTTACCATGATTAAAATCATAGATTTCTCTGGTTTGCGAATTGATGGAAAAATCTGGGATAATGTAAGAACACAACTCAACAAAATATAGAACATAGTTGTAGTTGTTTTTAGACATTTTAATGTGGAAAAGTTACAGATTATAACTTTAATGAGTGGAAAGGACCAAACCGGACACAAGTTTAATTTCTGTTACAGACAGAATGGGTGAACGGATTGAGGGTCCGTGATTATTTTCACTGTATGTCATCAGAATTGGCAATCTGATCAGAAAAGATTGAACTTCGATTAGTCATTGATACTATGAAAACATGTTTTTCAAACAAACACTGTACACTGAGTGAAACATATTTATAGAAAGATCACAGAAAGTAGAAGATACAAGAATAGTTTTCTTTGTTTCATCAGTTGAATTGATTTTGACGACAAAATTACTTTCAAATCCGCAGAGGAATTCAAACAAAATTAGTTAAATAAATTAAAGTCAATAATTAATTAAACGGAAAAAAAATAAACTGCTTCATAATGTTTGGGAAGTAAAAGTGCACGGGTCACACTGGAGGTGTAGAAAACATTGTTGGTGTGAAAATCCTGCAGGTATAAAGGTGTCCTGCTGGCAGCTGCTCATTTACACTCGCTGAAGAAGTTCAAGGTACGACGACACTTGTGAGAGGCGCTAATCACCAAAAACCTGTGTGATGACAAAAAACTGTTTGTGAGCATCATACACATATTTAAAATGTTATTATTCAATCACTTTTATTACTCTTCACTGTTAAACTGTTTATGGTACATTCTCTGCATGTACTTATGTTTTGATTTTTTGTCATTTTACTACCGTCAAGGCCTTCTAAACAAATCATCATTTTAAATGTTATATTTTATGTCTTTCATTTAATATTTTTTCTCTTCTAATTATAATTTTATAATTATTCTCATGTAATTCTAATTTTAGCCTAATTTTCTATCAAATTAGCTTAAAACCAGAAGTTGAAACATTTTTTTTTTTGCATGTTGGAAGAAGTGAGGAAGGCTTAGCTAACTATCACTGTTAGGAACCTCCTTAATTGAGTATCTCAAAAAACAGGGTTGATGAAGAGAGTTTAGTTTGTTTTTTTCCTGTGTTTCCTTTGTGTATAATGTTCCACACCCCAGTCCTAATGCACCTGCAAGCTGGTTACCAATCAAATCAGAAGAAGAAGAAGAAGAAGTTGTTGTTGTTGTAGCCTGACTGTCTGCAATGGACTTCACGTGATAATTCACAACTTGGAAGACTTTTATCTAAAACATTTTGATTTTTAAAACATCCGTGTTCGCCATCTTGCGATAAATCTGAATGAACTCTACGCTTGTACTCAAGGTTACTGTAAAATGAACTATTGAACAGTGAACAGTTGAATTGTGGAGAATATATCTGAGCTAATGATGTGTAGCACATCAGTATTGACAAACGTTTAAGCTTTTATATCTTTGTAGTGTTTAAGCTGCTTTGAACAAGCTTTAAATTGGTCGCCAGTGACCAGGTGGGTTTTCAGAGGCTCAGTCCTCGCTGTTATTGGTTTAAAGAAACATGGCCACCAAAACATGCACAGTCTGCCTGTCCATGTGCACTGTTCATCAATTTCCACATGTAGTCATTCAGATTTAACTAATCAGGTAACTGAACACTTGCAGCCACAAAGACTGTACATCACATATAGAAGGCTGGTTTATCTCTGTGTAGGTCAGTTAAGTATAAGGATTTTCAACAGGCCAATCTTAGAATACACAAAATGAGAATATTTTTTTAGCAATTGTTCAAATATAACGAATGTCATGTGCACATAAATTCATATTAGAATTTTAAATTCAGTGATTTTAGTGTTTTTTCACCTAGATGAATAAGCTGTGGTCTTAAAAATATCATGTCGTGGGACTGGGATTTATCTAAAATTCATTTCCTTAACATGCTTAACATTTTTTAACAGGTTGTCAGTATTATAAAGTGTTTAGAAACAAAGTATTAAATTCTTTTGAGTTGTTTTTGTAAATAATGATCTCATATTTTTGCTGTACAATGTCAATAGTCGCCATCTTAAATGTACTGAACAGACTTATTTTTCCTGTAAATTGCAAAAAACTGATAAAAAATGTTTTAAAAAATACCATTCGCGTAATCACACTGTATCAGTGATTAATATTTTGGCCATAGAAATTAGATATTTTATTTTGAATGACAGAAAAATGTGTGTCACTGTCCATGCTTATGGTTGCTTATCTTTGTTACCTGTTGCTTTAGCTCCTGGAGTCCTGGAGTAAGTTTACATTTATTTGGCCAGTGAAGCTGATTCTGTTTCTCATTATTTATTAGTGGCAATAGCTCAGACGATCACATGCAGAACATGGTTGATCTTGGTCTTAAAACATTTCTAGTAGGAGCATAATTGTATTCAAGTAGGCCACAGCCATTCTCTTTCAGGAGGCAAACTACAACCTCTTATTAATTCACTTTTGGAGGAGGGGAGTGTTTCATAACTCAAAAGATAGATTTTGGATGAATTATTTAAATTTGCTGTAGAGGAACTTACCTCCAGTAACCAGTCTTCACCACGCAATCAATGTCATCCGTTATGTCATCATCGGTGAAGGCTTCAGGGGGGGAGGGGGAGCAGCAGTTATTAATTAGCAAAATGCAAAAATTCAAGTATCAGTGATCACTCGTTTGGCTGTAAGTCTCACCTGTGCACGCGGTGCTGCACTTGTTTCTGGACCAGCGATAACCCGAGTCACAGAAGTGGCTGTCTGACAGCTGGAAGAGTCCGTAATACCCGAGGGACCAGGGCACCTGTTTCACATCTGCCTCATCCACTTCGCCCTTCTCACCATCCTCCCCATCTCTCTCCTCCTCCTCGGTCATCTTGTTGTCGTCCTGCATCAGCTCATCCTCGTCGAAGTTGCTTTCTTCCTCGTTCAGCAGTTCGTCCATGTTGTTGACCATGTCTGTGGAGATGGATTCATTGCTCATTGCACCAGCCTCCCGCTTTCTTCTTCTGGAGGACGGAGATAGCAGTGTAGTCTGGCTTGGTTCGGTGGTTTCTGGTTCAGTGGTTGTTGGTTTGCTGGTTGTTTTTTTGACGGTTGTGGGTTTGCTGGTTGTTTTTTTGACGGTTGTGGGTTTTCTGGTCGTCGTTTTGGCAGTTGTGGGTTTGCTGGTCGTCGTTTCTGTGGTCATTTCGTCACCTAGTGGTGTTGAGAGCTTTGTGGCCCTCGTTGTCGGCCTGGCTGTCGGTGTAGCTCCGCGTTCGCCCTCCACCTTGACCAGGCTGGTGTTCAGATGAGACCACTTACGCACTTCACAGATAACTACAGCGAACAGATGACAGGAAGCAGACAAGGAAAAAGAACAGAAGAAGATTTTTAAAAAACAGTGACACTCAACAGGTGAAACTTTCTTCTGTTGACTTTAATTTTCTTTGAGTGGTAGTTATTGTGTTCTTAAAACTTACAGTTAAATAATATATCAAATCATTTATTTATAGGAGCGAGACACCACGACTGACAGAGATGTTGGTGTTGTGGTTAATGTTTTGTGGTTGATTTGCCTCTCTGCAGTATTTGCATCTCTTTCTGGTCATTTTGCATTTCTTTGTAGTTCTTTATCTTGTCTTTAATTGTCTGTAACTGTTTTGTCTTTCCTTGTAGCCACTACAACGATGGATGAATTTGTGACTCTGGGGGTCTTGACTTTTCAGCTGTCTTTTCTAAACCTCTGGAAAACCTCACCCACCGTTTATGAACCTCACCTATTGCCAGGATGTGTTCCTTGTGCTTGTGTAGATATTTGGGCAGGGCGATCGCTGCCTGGAGCTTTTCTTTCAGCTCGCACTTGGAGATGATCCGGCCCTCAGACAGGCTGGACACCAGAACTGCCACAGCCAGAACCATCAGCAGACCCAGCTTCATGTCAGCAACTTCTGTGGGGATATGGGGAGGGAAAACACATGGCTCTGAATGGGTGGGTGTAGGTCAATAATTTTATACATAGACGGTAGTTTAAACTGATCTTGACTCAGAGGACAGTGTTCAGTTTACAGTAAATGGGGCCCTCTAGTGGTGAGAACAGCTTACAACATGCTTCCCTTAATTGTAAATCAGGAGGAAATGGAGGGAAAAAACAAAAGAGCGTGATGCTTCAGATAATCAATCACACACTTATCATGTCACCACCTCCTGGACAACAGAAAAACAAACATCTTATTTATTTATGTGCAGCATCACTGGGAACATCTGTTATTCTACATTTATAGGCAGAATGCAAACATTTCATAAATAGTTTAAATCAGACTATAATGTATTTATTAATCTACAGTATTTGTCATCAATTATAACTTCTTTAATGAAGACATTTTATATTTTTACATCTGTGTTTTACTATATGATTGTAGACTATTTATAATTAATACAGCATTATGTCCATGACATAAGTCAACTTAACTTATATCTGCTTATAACTAGATTATGTGTAATAAATCATGCGTTAAATGTTTATTTACTGTTTATAAATGCTAAATAAAAAAGTAAAATATGACCAGACACATTATTGCTAAAAATTCAAAGATATCTTTATATTTTTTAATATTTTTTTCAGAGGTGAGATTGTTTTACTTAAAAATATTTTTATATTTGTTAAATTTTCTTTTTCTTTTCTTTCTGTCTTGTGTTGAGATATTAATTGTAGTAAAAGTAGATTTATCTAAATCAATTAGCAAAACATTTTCATCACGAAAAATAAATCCTGAAGGATGAATAAGAGACCAAATTACCTTTTTTTTAATTTAATTTATTTTTTGTTTTTTGTTTTTTGTTTTTTGAAGTTTGAAGTTTTTTTTCAGGGATTTCTGTTGGTGTCAGTTAAATTTTCTTTGCAGGAACACCCTGAAATTACTTAATTTTGTTGTTTTAATTGCTGAAATTGAAGGTCTTATTTTACCCCTTTACAAAATCAGATGAACAATTTGCACATTTTCATTAGTAGTAGTAATTAATAAGTAATTTCCAAATCAACTAAGTCAGGGACACCATCTGCCTTTTGATTAAATCCAAAATTAACACAATCGCAGTTTGTTGCAAAATGTTTTTTTATCAATTATTTTCTAATTATCTCTCAATTTTTTTCCTTTCATCATTTTTCTTCCAGCAAAAGAGCAAAAATTAAACATCAAATGTCAGTTCTTCTGCGATAGAGAACAACAGCATTGATCATATAATATTATAGGAATATTATATAATGAAGTAATGATAAGAAGATAAAGTAAATGTGTTTCTTACTGCGTTCTTCCTCTGATAGACTTTGTGTCCTGAGTTTGTTGCCTGATGGAAGTCTGCATCAGAAATGAGTGTGGGTTTATATAACATGAGTCCGACCTGTGGACAGACCTGTTCTGCTGCTGTCGTAGTTTTTTTTTTCTTTTGACATAATTTCCTTGACGGAACAGGGAACTAAACAAATTCCAAAGATTCTCTGGTCGTTGTGAAAACATGGATTGAATTGTTCTAATAAACCACAAAGACATGAAAAAAAAAAAACAGGTCAACCAACATCTGAACGTGACATTTACAGGTTTCATAGTTTTCCAAATCAAATGGTAGGAACAATAAAACAATACAGACGCCATTCAGTGTCATGCAGGAAGTCTTGTAGTGTCTTAAATACATGAATGGTATGTTTTTATAGTAATAACAGTCAGTCAGTCAGTCAGTGCAGAAATCAGAGAATTTTCACCAACTCTGCAGCTCTACTGAGATTTTTTTTAGCTTCTTTAGCTCCTTGTTTTGGTTTTGCATCACAGTTCCTGTTTGGTTGAGTCTCATCAGCCGTTTCCAGCAGCAGCAGCAGCAGCAGCAGCTGTTCTTGGCAAACGAGCTGTGATAAATGCAGTGGAGAAGCACACACACAGAGAGAAGAGAGAGAGAGAGAGAGAGAGAGAGAGAGAGAGGGAGAGAGAGAGCTTGATGCTGCAGCTGAAGAAAACAACACAAGCAAACAGAAAAAAATACAGCTACAGCAACATGTTTCTGTATTTGGTTGTTAGCTGTGTTTGCAGCGTGTTTCATGCTGCATACTTGTGATCCTCTGCTGGAGTATTTGATGTGGCATGAAGAAATGCAGACTGACCAGGTTGGAGCGGTGCCCATGTTTTTCCCGTCACTGGGCCAGATGGCAGAGGAGACGAGACGATAACTAGTTAGTCAGGGTTATTTCTGTTGTGTCACTAATCAAACAAACGGCGTACTGTACATACCTCCAGGAAGTCTGATCACGGTGAAAATGAGCTCGAGCTTCCTGTTTAAACACCTGCTCAGATTCTTTCAAACAAAAATAATCCCACTGTAAAAACAATTAAAAGTAACATTTAAAAAAACTGCACAAATCT